GGTTAGAAATAGGGGACACGGGATCTTCTTAGAGGATGTGCCCCGAAGGACTGTTGTGTGAGATTTCTCTACATGGCAGCAAATAGTCCTCTAACTGAAGCCAGGGGCCAGGCAGAAGCTGAAGAGAAGCTGGGGTGTTATTGCCCTTCACCCACTGAACTTTTTGTTTGGGTCCTCAGACACTTCCTTCATGTACATGATTGCGGGCCTCTGCATGCTGAAGCTCTATCAGGCCCGCCACCCAGACATCAATGCCAGCGCCTACTCTGCCTACGCCTCCTTCGCAGCAGTCATCACACTCACGGTCCTCGGAGTGGTGGGTCCCTCTCTGTCTGCCTCAGTCTGGCTCTGGAGAAGTGTCCGCTTTGGGGGGTGGGGAGGATTTTGCTGTTTGTGTCTCTTTGTTGGGCTTCGGGTGTGTGGATTTGGGTCTCTTCATGGCACTCTGGTTGGGTTACTAGCTGAAGGATTCTAAGCATGTGATAATCGCCTGTAAAAAAGCTGAGGGTGGTTTTTATATTAAAATGGGGGAGTCTGAATCATGTCCACACTGGACTTAGTAATCTAAGTTGATTGGATAAACCAACCCAAGAGACGAACTATTTTTAAACGTTAGTGGACAGCAGTTGCTGACCGCCTTCGGTTATTTGAAGAGCATTCTTCAAATTCTCCCCAGCTCGGGACCAACTGCCCCTCCATTGTTGTTCTCCTACCATTCCATCTCTCCCTCCTCTGTTTTCATTTGGCTAGGTAGCCATTGTTCCTTCTGTCCACTGTACAGAAAGATCCCTGTGCGTTTTGAGGTAAGAAAACAAAACGCACTCAGGGCTAGGTGGCTTTTTAAAAACAGTTTTGTTTATACTTTGACAGTTTCATACCTGTATTTAATGCATCAAACACATCCACCCAGTTCCCTTTAAGCTGCCCCTAACCCCCAACACATTCCCCTCCAAACCTTCATGTCTTCTTCATGTTTATGTTTTTATAACCTACTCAGTCTAATTGGTGCTGTATGCTTGAGAATGGGTATAAGGCCATCTACCTGTGCGTGAACACTACCTTAGCTACACACCACCCCACAAAATGACTCTCCTCCCGCAGCTGTTAGCAACTGCCAATAACTCGTGCCTCAGGCTCGGTGGAAGGCTGGTTGGCCTGATCTTGTGCAGGGCTTGAGCAGACAGCCACGGCTTCAGTGAGTTCATGACTACAACTGCCTTGTCATGTCCAGAAGACATTCGTCACCTTCCTCCCGCTCTTGTGTTCTTTCCACCCCCCCCCCACTTCCCTGTTGTTCCCCGAGGCTTATGGTCATTTAGCCAGCACACCCACAGTTCTCAGTATTTTGACCAGTTAGGAGTCTCCGCCTTAGCTGCAATCCACTGCATATAAAGAAGTTCGGTTTGCTACTGTAAGCCTCAACAAGACACAGTGGTCGTACAGAGTTCTCTGAGGAAACCCCAGATCACACTAACCCTTTCCTTATCCCTAGGTGTTTGGGAAAAATGATGTGTGGTTCTGGGTTATCTTCTCTGCGGTCCATATTCTTGCTTCCCTGGCCCTCAGCACCCAGATCTACTACATGGGCCGTTTCAAGATAGGTGAGTAAGCACAGGCACTGACTTCCCCGGGAAGCCAGCACAGGCTCATCCCTCCTCCTCCATGACAGTGCTACTCACCAGCATGAGCATGGGCTGTTCGGTTGTCTCTAAGAACGACTTCCTCCTTGTAGATCTACCCTTTCTTAGATAGTGTAGCTCCAAAGAGCATTTGATAAGGTGATCTCATCGTTCCAGACCAAAATCTGAGAGGTCATATAAACTGTCAAAAGGGAACTGACTCTGAGTCTTGTTCTACTTTCTCCCAGATTCATGAGCACAGAGTTAGGTAGTGGTAACAATCCCTGTCACTGTCCTGTAATACCAATGGCAGTGACATGCAAGCGGCGATATAACACTGACTCATAAACATCTTAGACACAAGGAAAATTTTATATGAGGACCATGCAGTGATTTTTGAGCGTCACAGCAGGGAACAATTGTTACATACAACAATTAATGAAGATTTACTCGTGAAATGATGATTCACAAGACATGCTTGGTGAGAGGTATGTTAAGGGGTCTCTCCGGGCAACCTGGGATTAATAGCGATGCAGCCCTCACTGTCCTTATTTCTAGAACAGGGATGAAATGGTCATTAGAATGTGTCATGGAGAGGAAGTCCCCTGAAAGGAACTTTGGTTGATAGACAAGTTCAGTCTGAGGCAGCCTCACAGGGAGGTCCCCACAAATGTTGCAGGAGAGAGGTGTATGGCAGTGGGAAGGGCATCTGGAAGATGTAAGTTCTGTGCCCTCAGAACCATCCTGAGGCGGTTTTAGATGTAGCAGAGTCAATCCCTGCTGTTAGAAATAGCAGGTGGCAGGTTTGTCTAACGGCAGCTAAGGGGTTGCTCTTCTGCCAGCTTTAGCAGGACAGCTACAGTACCATGGCCACAAGCAGCATGATGGGACATTGAAGAGAGACAGATTCTTCAGGATGCCAAGAATTTCATTAGGAGAGAGTCTAGGGCAGGGTTCCGAATGGTGGTGGCCTTCAGTTCCTGAGGACAAAGGGAATGCCTTGCTCTTACAGGCTCGGGGGAGAGGGAGTGGGAGATCATGCCATATAACCCAGCCTGTGTGTTCGGAGTTACAAGTCAGGAAGGCACCAGATAAAGATAAAGTTAGAAGCTGGACCTGCTGTCACGGGTGAGGCTGGGCTTGCAAATGCAAGGCGGATGGAGGCTGAAGGCCACAGGAGGATAGTGGGGAAGGACTAGAGGGCTGTGACCTAACAGCTGTTTCCTTGTACCAAGGATTTTGTTTCAAGTCGGCCCACAGGCAGGAATTTGCCTTGATAGACAGTGGTTCAGCCATCTCTAACCTCTCCACGCATTTCCTCAACACCTTTGCTTTCTAATTACACATTCCTTTCTCTGCAGTTCTCGGGAGAGCTCATAGGAAAGGCATCTGTGCAGTGCAAGGCAGAGCGTGTTACAGATGGACAGAAGACAGAGCCACTTGTCCAGACCACTGCTGTGTCCTCCGCTCTGACGCTAGGATTTAGACCTCGAGGGTTGTTCATAAGAGAAGATGGGTTCCCGAAGTGGGAGGGGAGAGAAAGGCTCCTCTGCCTGTTCTTCAGGGAGGGGCTTTCTGAGTGTCTGAGACAGGTAGAATCCATGTCCTTCGTGGGGGAGCAAACACCACTTTTACAAATACGAAGTAATGCCATCGTTTTAAGAAAAACAGACAGAGCGAGAGTTGATTTACCTGTGTGGCCTCCTTCTTACAGCTCATCTCTCTCTCTCTTCTTTCCTCTCTGCTTCCCACTGACTCAGATGTGTCTGACACAGGTAATGTCCTGCGACTTTTTGTAGGGGTCTGAACTGTCTAGACCCGCCTGGCTGTCTCTGCCCCCTGCCTTTCCCTTCCAGGTCAGGCAGTGCATTGGAGGGGGATTCAGAGTAGAGGTCAGAAGGCAGTCTGCATTGCAAGCCATGCTGGGGTCCATGCCTTCTGGGCTATCACATGGCTAGTCTCCTTTCTCCTGGGTTAGTTCACCCCCCAGCCTAGCCTGGAAGGGGAGGGGAGAAACCCGACAGAGCTGGGCATCCACGCCCAGCAGTGCTGGCTCTGGGTCACGCTTTTGATGTCAAGACATGAAGAGCTCGCAGGAAGAGAGCCTTCCTTTGACCTAGAACTCTTACGCTGACGCCATTCCATTCCGACCATGCCTTTTGCAGGACTACATTTGCAAAACCCTTTCTGTGTTTCTCGGCCCCTCTTAACTTACATTTCTTAATAATTCTGCATCCTGTTTCCAGACCACTGCTCTTTCTATCCATTCTTAGCGCAGCCTGGGATCTCTTGGTTCAGAACTTAGTAACTCATGACTGCACCGAGAAGTGAAGGCTGGAACTTTTACAAGTTAAGGCCCCTCGGACGGGCTGTGGTGGTGCATGCCTTTAATCCCAGCACTTGGGAGGCAGAGGCAGGTGGATCTCTGTGAGTTAGAGACCAGCCTGGTCTACAGGAGCTAGTTCCAGGACAGGCTCCAAAATCACAGAGAAACCCTGTCTCGAAAAACAAAAACAAACAAACAAACAAACAAGTTAAGGCCCCCAATCCCCACTACGGAGAGCAAATGTTTTAAGGTAGACTCAAGGGTTCTACTACATCTCCACTGTCAGGAAACCTCACCAGAGTGACCTTTAAGCTTAGCCGAAGGAAGCACAAGGGTGGCTGCTGCCTGCCATTCACATCCCTTGGCAGCCTTTCCGTTATATGATCCAGGCTCATGGCACACCCTCCAAGACAACAATGTTTTCTACAGCAGTGGTTCTCAACCTTCCCAACGCTGTGACCCTTTAGTGCACTTCCTCTTGTTGTGGTCACCCCCAGCCACACAATTATTTTTGTTGCTACTTCATAACTGTAATTTTGCTTCTGTTACAAATCTTAATATCAATATCTGTGGTTTCAGATGGTTTTAGGCGACCCCTTTGAAAGGGTCGTTTGACCCCCAAAGTGCTTGCTCCCTGTGACTTGAAAACTGCTGTCCTAATCATGTACTTACTGCTCACCTATCAGGTGCAAAGCAGTCTAATGGAGTGCCGATGGTGCCCTTCTTACCCCCAGTCATCTGAGAGGGGACCATCACGTCACTTCCTAGTACATGTATTTTCTCGGTGTGTTTTCATCATGTAATTGTGTCAACACAGATCTGGGGATCTTCCGGAGGGCTGTTACGGTGTTCTACATGGACTGTGTGCAGCAGTGCAGCAGACCTCTGTATATGGTACGTGCATGTTCCCGTGTTCCTTGGCCAGCTTCCCGAAAGTGGAGGGGCAGGGGGATGGGGGCAGGCTTGGGGCAGTGACTCAAACCTCCAGAAAGCCAAAGAACCAGATGGCCTGAGGTGGCTGTGGTCCAGTCAGTGGGGGAAGAATCACATTGCTATTCTTTTTTTTTTTTTTTTTTTTTTTTTTTTTTTTTTTTTTTTTTTTTTTTTTTTTTTTTTTTTTTTTTTTTTGGTTTTTCGAGACAGGGTTTCTCTGTGGCTTTGGAGCCTGTCCTGGAACTAGCTCTGTAGACCAGGCTGGTCTCGAACTCACAGAGATCCGCCCGCCTCTGCCTCCCGAGTGCTGGGATTAAAGGCGTGCGCCACCATCGCCTGGCTCATTGCTATTCTTTTAAAAAGGTGAGCTACCATGGTCCTGCTTTGATAGAAAAATATTTGCTAGTCTATAAAGAAGATAAAGAAAATATATAAAAACACACACACATATACACACCAAACTTTTTAAGTGATATATATTTTTTTTTCTTTTTTGAGAACTTCACGCGTGAGTACTTCATCCACGGCCTCTGCCTCTTCCCTCCCAAATTTCTGACCTCTTCAAATATTACTGGTCCATAGATGTGTATATATATACAGACACACACATGCATGTGCAGCCTACTCAGTCTATTTCATGCCTGCCGGTACGTACATGAGTCCAGGGCTGATCACTTGGGCCTGGAAACCTGTAAGGGAGCTCCTCCCTGGAGGAAACTGGTTCTCCTTCTTCCAGGAGCCACTGATCACCCATAGCTCTTCATGTAGCAGTGAGGCCATTTGGGATTTACCCCATCCGTGTTCGCTTGGCAGCTAGAATATGCCTAGCTTTTAAATAGTGATAATGACTGTGGGGGGAATCGAGGCACGATGCCTTTATGAGTAATCCAATAGGTGACCTCGTGCAAATGAAACATCACACTATTAATAGCTTTACCAGGACGGCAGGTGGGAACTGGCATGGCTCTAAGAAGATGTCCCTTCTGGCTGCTTCCATTGGGGTATCAGTTTGCTCACTGTTGCTGTGACAGAACACTTAGACCAAAAGTGGAGGAAAGGGTGAATTTGGTTTATACTCCTTATCAAAGTCAGTTACTGCAGGACCTCAAGGTAGGCCCTGAAACAGAGACTCTGGAGGAATGCTGCTCGGTGGCTTGCTCCGCATGGTTTGCTCAACCTGCCTTTTTACACAACCCGGGATCACCTGCCTAGGGATGGCACCACCCACAGTGGGATGGATCCTTCCACATCAGTTATTAATCAAGAAAATACCTCACATGCTTGAGTTTATGGAGGCATTTTTCTCAGTCAAGGTTCCCTCCTCCCGGGTGGCACAAACTTGTAGCAGGTTGACGGAAAACGCCCAGCACAACTGGTAACTTCCACTTTCCACGTTTTCACCTCGTATGTTTTGACAGCAGGAACATTGGTAATCTGTGGTTGTGTTTTGGTGGTTGGAAATATTCCTTTAAATTTTCCCCCTTTAGCTCTCATATTATCCTTGTCTATACCAAGCCTGAGAGACTGGGGCCAAAGCCCTGCCTTAGAGTCCAGACTATTGAACTGGAAGTGTCCAACATCCTCTGAGCACTAAGACTTGTCCTCTGTGTGGTTTTGTGCTCAGATCTGTTGCTGTCTTCTGCCCTGGAACACAAGAGTTCAGTAAGAACCCAGTTAATGATCTTATAACCAGAAGGATTTCTACATCAAGAAATACGGAGACCCCTTAGCCTTCAAAACTTGGGCAGGAAAAACTGAGAGACTTGAAGCAGGGGTTTTCTCAATGCTAGAACTATAAAGCCCATTAGAACCTACAAGTATCTGGGGAGTTGTGTATGCTGGGGCTGAGAGCCAGGCGGGGCAATTAATGTCTAAAGTGTAGAACAATTTTAGCTTCACAGAAAAACAGAGCAGAAGGCTCAAGATTCTCCACACGCTGAGGGCTCCTACATATGCATAGCTGTCTCTACTAGGTGCATTCTCATCAGGCTGTTGCACGGAACAGCATTGGCCTCTCCATCCGTCTGTGGGCCACACACCACTTGTAGTATGAGCTGCAGGCCTCTTCCTACAGCCCAGCTCCTGGCCGCCTGGCTAGCTTATACCCCGAAATAACAACACACAAATTGTATTCTTTTAAACACTGCCTGGCCCGTTTCTATTAATGTGTGTAGCACCGAGGTGTGCTTACTGGGAAGATTCTAGCCTACGTCCATCCTGGGTCAGAGCTTCATCGCCTCTGCCCCAGAGAGGAGAGCTATCGAGTCTGGGCTCACTTCCTCTTACTCCTAGCATTCTGTTCTGTTTACTCCACCCACCTATGTTTTAACCTATGAGGCCAAGCAGTTTCTTTATTAATTAACCAATGACCTTCCTCCATCAACCACTGCTTTGTCCTTTGTTTGGGTTTTGACAAACACTTAATGGCAGCTTCAAAGTGTGCACAGCATCATGCAGACCAGTCTGGCTTGCCCAACACTCCTTTGCTCTCTGCCTGTTTACCTCTCCTTCCTTTGGCACTGCCACCCTCTGATCTGCTTCTAGAGGGTCGCCTCCTTGTTTTGCCTTTCTCAATGTGTCATGGGACTGGATTCGAGTCATGTGACGCCTGCTCCCAGACTTACCTCCTTCACTTAGTAACACACATTCACATTTCCTCTCTGTTGTTTCCATGACATGACAGCTCTTTTCTTTATAGTTCTGAATACTGCTCCATGGTCTTATATTGCTACCGAGTATTGATCCGTGAACCCACTGAAGGTTGTCTTGTTGCCTCCAGGTTCGTGTAATTACAAATAAAGTTGATATAGCAATTGTGGAGGTGGGGTTTCTTGAACCTATGTTTTCAACTCATTGGGACGCATGCCCTGGAGAGAAATTGATGGAAGAGGTGGTAAACAGGTATTTAGTCTTGCAGTTAAAAACAGAACAAATGCCAGCTGTCCCCCAAAGTAGCAGAGCCTGTTTGTATTCCGACACATCTGTTTCAGGGACGAACTCTTCTGGTGGTCCCACATCCTCACCAGCATTTCCAACCAGGCTTTTAGATTTTCACTATTCCAGTAAGAAATTAGCCTTTTGTCTGGTTTTGTTTTTCGACAGGATCTCCCTATGTAGCCCAAGCTGGCCTGGTGCTTGCTGTGTGAACAAGGCTAGCTCGAACTCAGAGATTCTCTTGCCTCTGCCTCACAAGTACTCAGATTAAAGAATTTTTTTTTTAAAAAAAAAAGGCATTTCTTTTATATTGGATGGATCATTTGGGAAGCTGAGAGTTGGTAAAAATGAGAAATGGTGGCCATGCACATCCACATGCAAATATAATTAAATATACCTAGAAGCTTGAAGTAGTCGCAAAGGGGCAGAAAAAGATGGAGAACGGATTTCACTCAGAGGACCCTTACTCATGTGGACAGTTCCCCTGCATCTCCTGAACCCCCGTTCCTTAACTTCAGGGTTAAGATTGTGGAGTGAAAACTAGCTCCTATGTTTAGTTCTGACTCTGCAGCCCAGGCCACGGGGACATGACCACAGAATCCCCACTACTGAGTGACAAGTGCACGTCACCAACCTCCAGCTGCTCAGTCCCACCCGGCTTTGCTGGCCACACTTTCTTACACTGAGCTGCTCTTCATCCTTTTGTGGTCAGGTCTTGCTGTTCAGCCTGACGCAGTATTAGTGTGAACCCCAGAAGGTGTCTTCCCACAAAGTAACAGTTTTCCCGTGGGTGACGCTTTCACCGCAGTGAGTAGCTAGCAAAGCGACCTCCATTCTAACACTCCGTTTTCTCTTTTCCAGGACAGGATGGTGCTGCTCACTGTGGGGAACCTGGTTAACTGGTCCTTGTAAGTAGAATTACAGGAAATGATGTTCTTATTATTGTTAATATCTGCAATGCTCGGCGTAGAGTTCTTGGACTGTCATTTTTACAAGAAAATCTGAAATTAAGGAGACTGTAGACCTGTTTGTCCCAGAGACAACAACAACAAAAAACAGTCTGGAGAGATGGATCAGTTGGTAAAGGCACCTGCCGTCAAGTCTGGCAACATGAGTTCAGTCCTCAGAACCCACACAATAGAAGTCGAGAACCAACTCCATTAGCTGTCCTCTGACCTACACACACACACACATGCCGTAATATGCTCATAGATACAAATAAGTAAAATATTTTAATTAAATAAATGCACCAGGAAGCGCTTGTATACTGGTGGGGGGCTTCTTCGAAAACATTGATCCATTGATAGAATGTGCCCAACAAGACAAATATCTATGTGAACAAATTGGATGGATGGGTGGATGGATGGATGGATAAATGACTGAGAGAAAGAAAGGAAGGAAAGGAAGAAAGGGGGAGGAAAAAAAGGCATTTTGCCCATGAGTCCAAAAATATAATTTAAAATTATTTTGTAGAGTTTTGCATAATGACTATTGAGGAGACATTAGTTTTTATAAAATACTTTTTCCGTCATTTGTGGTGTGTGTGCATGCTCGCGCATGTGTGTGTGACTTTGCTATTTCTTTCTCTCTCGCTTTCTGTTCCAGCCATGTCATTCTCCCACAGTTTGTCCCTTTGCGTCCTCTTGTCCTGTGTCCCAGGTGAACACAAAGCAGAGGTGCAACAGATGCGCATTCTCCTCTAGCTGAGATTGTCTTATGTAGCCTCCTCACTTCCAACACATGAGATGCTTCGTTGGTATCGCAAAAATTAAGTAACTTCAGCTGTTTTTACTTATGACTCTCAGCTAATGGGTTTCTCTGGCTCTGTGACTTTTGATCCCCGCACCCACTCCTGATATGCATAAGGACACAATCCACTCACGAGACAAGATCAGTGGCCTCTTTTTCCTCACACAGCTCTGTAGGATGTCAGGTCCAATAACGTATGAGGTTTGATGTCCCATAATTCTAATTCCATGTTTCCCTGGCAGAGGGGCTATCTCTTTCTCTGTTGTTCCACATAGATAGAGATATGAATGTTTGATGTGTGCTATAGTGTCTGGCTCACCTTTATCCTTCTGCTTGCTTGGTGCTGTGGATAAAACTTAGGGTCTCTTGCATGCCAAGCAAGTGCTTTTCCATTGAGCTGCACGCCAGCCCAACTCCATGCTTACCTACTTATTAGAGTGTTACTTCTCTTAATAAGATCATAATGCAAACATGTGTTCAAGTGGAAGCAATCTATGGACAATCTTTAATATTTACAGATACCATATTTATGAATGTCAGCATCTATTTATGGATCATTATTTATTTATGTCTTATCCCTAAAGGAGTAATTCCCACATGGCCCTGAAGAAGAAAACCTTTGGGGTGTGTGTGTGTGTGTGTGTGTGTGTGTGTGTGAGAGAGAGAGAGAGAGAGAGAGAGAGAGATTGAGAGAGAGAGAGCCAAACAGCACACATATCGAATTGCTAATTGATGAATCTGAGGAAAGGCCACCTAAGAGTTTTTAGTGAACTAAGGATTTCAGAATCTGGACGGATGGCATTTCATGAATAATCTGGAGCACAGTCAACTGGACTCTGAAATTCACAGCCATTAATAAGTTCTGCACTTGAAATACTTAGGAATACAATTTGAGAGGCAGGCAGAGTCTTTCTTCTGAAAATTTAATTGCCTTATTAGGTCACACAAAAGAAAATTTAACCAACTGAAGAGAGATGTCAAGGCCTGGCGTGGAAGACAGATAGCTGTTCTCCAGTTAATGTGTCAATGTCAAATTAGAGCTTTTTTTTAAATCACAAAATGGGTTAACAGTCCCCGAAAAGCAAGGTTAACATGAGGAAAGAGGGCCAAGAATATAGTAACTATTCCAACATTGTCCAATAGAACTTTCTGGAATTACATAAATGCTCAGTACCTCGCAGTCCTAAGAGGAACTACTAACATGTGGGCATTGTGATGCTGAAATGTGGTCTGTGTGTCTGAGGAACGAACTTTTCAATTTTTATTTAGTTTTAATCGATTTAAATTTAGATAGCCATGTGTGAGGGCCACGGGGGTTGACATAGGCTAGCCTAATAAGGCAATCTAATATTAAAATATAAATAAAACAGAGCGAGGCAAGCTCTGACCCAAAATTAGGACTATAGACCAGTGAGTCAGACGAAGAGTATGGAAGCAGACGTGTTGCTGCACGCTGTAACTCGGCTATCGGGATATAAGGCAGAGGGTCCCAAGTTCAAGGCCAGCCTGGACATCTAATAAATGAAATGGTTCAGTTCTCCAGTACAGTGAAAGCAGACAGAACAGAGACAAGAAAAACCCTGACGAAACACTATGTCAATATAGATTTCATTAAAGTTTAACACGTGATTATTTATATGCACACATGTAGGTTAGCGTGATATCTCAAAACATGTGCTCCGCATTCACAGATGAACTCCACCTTCCTTTTATCCACCCCTCCACTTCCCAACTTCCAGTCTTCACTAGTCTTCATTTGGGGTTGATTTCTATTTCCCTGCGAGCCAATGACTTCGATGACTGTCAGATATGTATTGGCCATGTGTATGTATATTCTCTCTCTCTCTCTCTCTCTCTCTCTCTCTCTCTCTCTCTCTCTCTCTCTCTCTGCGTGTGTGTGTGTGTGTGTGCTCCTTACTAGGGAGCTCCTTACAGAAGTCAGAGGCATTGGCTGTCTTTCTCTGTTGTACCCCTCATATTTCTCAATATTTCAGCTGGACAGCCTGGCCAATGAGGTGCCAGGGTCCACTTGTCTCTTCTGGGGTTAGTGGAGTGTTCTGCCATGCTGGGGACTAGAACGCAGGTCCTCCTGTTTGGGCAGCAAGCACTTTACCCTCTGAGCCATATCCCCTTCCCATATCTGCCCATTTTTAAGTTGTATTCCTTGGTTTCTTAATTCTTTTTACTTTGGATGTTGTTTTGTTTGCTTTTCCATTGATGTGACAAACATCGTGAAGAGCAGCAGGGAAGGGTTGATGTCAGCTCACTGTTGTCCATCGTGAAGGGAAGCAGGGAAGGGTTGGTGTTAGCTCACTGCTGTGGTCCATTGTGAAGGGAAGTCCCAGCAGGGTCTGACGGCAGGAACCCAGGCAGGAACCTGGAGGCAGGAACCCTGAGGCAGGAACAAAGCAGTTCTGTGGGGGAGCAATGCTCACTGGCTTACTCAGTCTGCTTTCTTGCACAGCCAGGACCATCTCCCTAGGAATGACACCACCCATGGTGGACTGGGCCCCACATCAATGACTGATCAAGAAGGTGCCCTACAGACTTGCCCACTGCTTACCCTGATGAGGATGTTTTCTTAATTGAGGTTCCTCTTCCTAGATGACCCTAGAATGATAAAAAAAAAAAAAAACCTTACTAGGACAAATATTAATCCAAGATTAGCTAATCCAGGATTGTTGATAGCTATCTTCCTGTTTTCTGATGCTTGTCTCTTTCCTCTATGAACTCTTTGCTATGTAGAAGCTTTTTAATTTGGTAAAATCCCACTTGTCAATTTTTACTTTTTGTTTCCTAGAGCCATGATATAGTTGTTTCATTTTGTGTTATACTGTTTGTTTGTTTTTATTTGTCTGTTTGTGACAGGGTTTTTCTATCTAGACCTGGCTTGTTTGGTCCTCACTTTGTAGCCCAGGTTAGCCTCAAGCTCCTGGCAATCTTCCTGGCTCAGATTCCAGAGTGCTGAGATTACAGGTGTGTACCACCCACCCACCACACTGTAGGTCTTAAACGTATATTTACTAAAAAAAAAAAAACAAACCTTCAAATAAA